GGTGTCCACCAGTATTCTTTTATATATAAAAAAACAAATGCAAGGAGGAGAGGTGTGTTTTGCATATTTGATAGAAGGGGTGGTTGTTGTTTTGGTTTTGTGGGGGGGGTGGGTTTATTTCATATTCTGCTGGATTTGTGTATTTAGTGATTCTGAGTAGTTGGGGTGATTAATGTATTTTCCCTCAATTTGCTGATGCTAAAGTATAAATACAGGATTCCCTCGCTTTCTGCAGGGTCTTATGCAATGACCCTTTTTATACCAAAATTTTGTTATATGCAAGGTAAATTCACTCATGCAATCGGTATGGTGGAAGTCCGCAATCTGCTGCTTTGTGCAGTGCATTGTGGGAGTGACGTGCACCAAAATATAGTCTCCTGTGTGGATCTGTGCTCCTCACTTGTTCTCTGAGACACGTGTTTCTGTAGTTGACATCCCCATTATGACTTGTAAGCGTCCCGGTAGCTTATTTCCTATCCCTCCCTTGGTCTATCAGTGAAGTCTTCACCACCCTTTCTTCACACCAACTAAACATTCACCACCACCCAGTGCTTGTGTGTACTGTATGCTGTTGGTGAGTACCAAAATAGTCTTGTAAAAGTGGTAGAAATGGGCCTAGGGGTCAGTACAGTTGAGGTCTTGGAACATATCCCTATTTGTTACATTGTAAAGTGAGTTCCCTTTATACAAATTTGAGTTATGCACTGTTTTCCAGGAATGCATGTACAGCATAAAGTGAGGGAAACCTGTACATGTACAGATTGTTTCCAGCTGCCCTTGCCAATTGCCTTGTATGTATGAATAGGAAGTCCAACTGCAATCCATCCTCCTAGCAATGCTACAATTAAACAATACATCAGAAGGTTCAGGGTGTATTTTCTCTGCTCTGATCCAGAACAGGCACAAACCAAAAAGTGTAGCTGGTGACATTAGATATCATTTTGAATGAGATCCCTCTTAGAAATCACCTTGTTTCAAATGGCTTCTGCTTTCAGGATGACAATGCCAGAACTTTATATGTATCTCTTGATATCTTGCTATCTTGTATCTCTTCCCGAAAATTAGTCCTATATGGCAGAAGTACAGTAAAGGAGATTATTTTAATAGAACATTACATAACTTATCCATAGTATGCTGGGAAGCTGGACTGTTCTGGTGAGTGATGTCACCCTTTAGTAGCTGACCCATAAAGAAAATAAAGAACCTACTACTGCAGCTAGCTTTATCTCTCAGACTTCTTTATCTCTTATGGTAGAAGCTTTTGTTCTGAAACCAGCTCAGTCCTTTGAAATTAGTTCTGATGAACATTTTGAGGCAATGTATACTTTAGTTTTTCCAGAAGATCAGTTTCCTAAACTCTCTACAATTTGCAGTCCATTAATTCTTCCACAGTATGTCTAATTATAGTCTGGATTTATGGACTGCAGCCATACCATTGTGCATTCTCAGATTACAAAGACTAAGTCGTTTTGGGCAAGGAAATTACTTAGATATGTGAGACTTCCAAGGAAACCCCAAGTGCTTCAAGAAGTGGCATTCTTCCTTCTAAATCTATATTGAACCAATATAATAAAAGCTGCTGGAAGTCCTCTAATATCTTATTTGTGATCATTGTAGGTCACCTGACACTTTCTATGTTAATGTTCACCCTGACCATATTCATAGTTGGATAATTATATCCCTGGATTGTCCCTACAGTTTGATGAGATATACAATTCTTCATGTTGCCTTTGTCAGTTATACTATATATGTATATATGAATATGTAACCCCAATGTGATCTATCTTCCTAATAATGCTGATTAAACAATACATTGGAAGCATCAGGGTAAACTTCATGATAAAGGAAGACACAGGTCTGTAGAATACTTCTTATCATTATAACACTTCTATCTGACTTCTTTGTACATCTTGTTGCATAAACCATATGCTTGATTTGAAGAAGTTTTTCTGAGTCTCTTAAATTAGCCTCTTGTGATGGGTCCCTGGATAGAGGTTTCTTAGATGGGCCAAATATGGTTAGACTTGTTCAGTTAATGTGGTTGGAAAATAGGAGGGCTGCTACCTGGAGACACAATCAAAGAGTGGTCAAACCATGTAGTACCAACCTTATGAGAGGCAAAGGGAATGAAACCCTTCATCTCAGGAGTGTGCTGACTGTTGACAACAGCCATGACAACTTGTGCCCAAAAAACAGCAGTTCTCAACCCACAGGTCATGATTCAAAAGTGGGGCACAAGAATATATGACAAGGTTTCAAACAAACTTAAAAAATGGATCAACAAACTTTAAAAATGGATTCTCCTTGAAAGGAGAAAAATGTGGGAAACCGTGGCTTTTCCCTTGTGGGCTGCAGTGGGTTGGGAGTGAGGGGCACTGGTTGGGACTGGCTATCAATGTTTACAAATGGGTCCTGGTACAAAAAAGGTTGAGAATCACTGCCCTAAACTGTTGTGTAATGTCATGTTAAAATTTCAGTTAGAAGAAATTGTATCTTCATGGAAGTTTTGCTTGATAGAAGGATCTAATGAAGATCCAGTTTGACCCTGAAAAGATCCCACTAATGACATCTGTAAATGAAATATTTCAGTCATATTTATTTATTGTATATAGTACAAAGGAAAAGTATGTTGCAGGAATTAGCTATGGTTCAGTCTCCTTTCTTATATTCCCAAGTGAATAAAATGTTAAGATAGAACTAGGAATTGGAAAAGCTTTAAAGACACCCTAAATTTTAAGTTTGGAAACTCAAAGTTAAGTTTTTGTTTTAAAGCAAAAGAACAAGATTTGGGGTCTTTATGGGAAGTCACAGTTAGAGCAACCCAACAACTCTGACTTTTGACTGCAATGGCCTCAGTCTTCCACCTAACCTAACAAAGTGAAAGGCTAGGCCTTTCCATAAATGACATAGGCTCCTCTGCTGAGGGAAAGCCCACCCTCACTCTGGCTTTCCTGTGCCAAGAAGGAACTCTTAGTTCAAATATGATGGTATTTCCACCTGAGCACAGGTGGCTTCTCTAGGACCTGCTTGCAGAAAACAGAGCTAGGACCCAACACCCCTAGGGTTTATGCATACTGCAGCAGCATTGTGTCCCAGAGAGGACAGAACTAGGCATCCTCCACCCACCTGAGTCAGCTGTCATTCTTCAGACCAGGAAGTACACCAGTAAGCCTGCTCTCAAGCCCCTAGTCTCTGGGGACAAGACTGAAACAGCTTTACTAGCAAACTTCTGATCTCGAAGTACATCATCAGACTTGGGTGGCCAGTATATGGGCAGGATGGGCATGGACCTAGGCTCCCTGGGACTAGCCATTGTCAAGTTCTTAGTTAGAAGCTCCAGTCATGAAAGTAGGGTGACTGGTAAATGTCTACTACCTTTTGCCTTAATGTTCCTTCTTTGTTGGGCAGTAGGAGGAGTGCTTTCTTTTGATCATCCCTTGGGTAGTGCACCCAGAAAGACTGTAGGGCCCCATTAACTAAGTTTGGGAATAAGAAAGGCATTAGAATAGGGAATAAGAAAGGGCATAAGAAAGGCAACAGCAAAGGTGAGGCAATGAGGATTAAAATAGGAGAAAGAGACAAACTGTGATTGGCAATGGGAGGCAGTAAATGGGACCTGGCAAGAGAACCATTGAGGGAACAACTGAAGTGGTCAGTGAGGGTAGCAGTCAGAGGAATGTCAGAACAGAAGGGTTGAGATGTGAGATGACAGAGAAGAGGGGAGGTAGAGGATAATGCTGAGGGAGACTAAGAGGTGGGGTAGTATGGCAGATCAACGAGGCCTGGATTTAGAGAAAGCAATTGGTGTACTCAGTTAAAACTCTAACTTCCTTTGATTTTGTTGCTTCAATAAATTGTAGAGAAAGAATTCTTAAAGAAAGAAAATATCCACTTAATAACACTGAATAGATATGGGGTGTAGCACAGCCCACAACCTACGTGTATTCTCCTCCCAAATGAGCTTGTGTACTGCCATCCTGCTGCCATGCTGGAACTGACTGAAATCATACAGTGCTCACTTAGGTCTTAATCCATATATTCGCAAACTCTCCCTGAAACATGCATCACACTTTTAATGGTGAATGTAAAGGCAAGACAGTAGAAACAGAACTTCAGTGGTTCCATCATGTTAATTTTATTTTAAAATTTAGGGTCTGCTTTAACTAACTAGCTTCTTTCTAGTAAAAAAAATGGCAAAAGCTTTTCAGTTAGAATGAAAAAGGTAGTAACTCCAATGCACTGTAACCATTTAGGCAGAACAGCCCTTCTGAATGCTTGCATGTGATGGGGACCATTAACTGTGTTTTCCACCAGAGGCCTGTGGGTTTTCTTCTTCTTTCCCTCTCTTTGGCTCCATCGTTTCTCCCATTTTCTTGCGAGACCTGCTCTTGGGTATGCCTAGTCTTTCTCTTTCTGTTCTCTCCATCATGCCCTCAGGTGGCTGAAACAGAAATATAGAGAAAAGTTAGAAACTACTCCTCAAATAACAAGAAAACTCATA